CCCTGAAAGTAAAATGAAGTAAGAAAAGGGAAAGAAATGTAGCTAGGGTGGGGGGAGGGAGTGGAAGGTTGAGACAGAGGAGAGTAAGAGGAAAAGAGACAAGGGTACCCACTAGCAAATGAAAATAGTCCTGAAGACAGATGAGTAAGAGAAAAAAAAACAAACAAACACAAATAAACAATCAAACAACAACAACAAAAAGTAGCAACAACAACAAACAAACTAGGACATGCAATCATACAGACACATCAGCTGACTAAACTCCTTATGTTGTACTAATCCCTTACAAAAACATGAAGTCTTTGATTCCAAGTTGGAGGCTGGGCAGAGCTGTGTGTTCAAGGCACTGCAGGTCTCTGCCTGGTCACAGGGCTACAGACCTCTGGTTGGACTGCAGCCAGGTCCATCGGGGGCAGGCAGAGTGTGAGGTAGCTGGGTGCTGTGGGTCGGCATGTCACATGCAGCTTGGACCTCTTTTTCTTTCTTTGTTCTTAGGTCCCAAGATGGAGGCTCCACAGAGCTGGGTGGAGCTCAAGGAGTAATGCAGGTCTCTGCATGTTTTTGGAACTGGAGCTATACTCTGGTCCTGCTGTGGCCAGGGGCCAGTAGTGGGAGGCGGAGTTTGAGACTACTGGGTGTTGCTGGTCAGCATAGTGCAGAGGGTGGCTGGGAGTGGAGTGGTTCAGCCAACAAGGAAGCCCAGTGCTCCAGGGTGAGGGAGCTGCAGGCCTCCCTGGGAGGCTTGGGGTGGGGCGGGTGCTGTAGCCAGGGTGGGAGGCTGGAGCTCCTTGGGTGGCGCTTGCTTGGGGCAGAGAGGGGTGCTTTAATCAGGGAGGGGACCCAGAGCCCCGAGGGGCAAGAGCTTGGGGCCTCTGTGGGTATTGGTGGCTTGGGGCCGGGTGGGGTGCTTCAGCCAGGGAGGGGCCCTGGAGCTCTGAGGGGAGGGTGCTGAGGTCCTCAGGCAGCGGCAGCTTGAGGCCTAAATTATGCTTTACATGATAACTTACATTATTTACACTTCTGGACTCCCTGTAACTGCCAGGATGGATTGCAGTCTTTCATAGCAGCAGTGATAATCCTTAGTTGTCAAGAAATGACTCAATTTTCAAACTGAAGTACTTTTTTTAATGGTGTATATAGAAGAAAAAACATAAAAGGATAAATTCAAAGAATAAGTGTAAGATGAATTATAGACATAAAGAAAAAATTTAAAATTAGTAAAATTTGATATAAATATTAAAGAATGTATTGCAGTAGGCCCTCCTTATTTGCAGTTTTATTTTCTGTGATTTCTGTTACTCAGGATCAACCACAGCCAAAAAATATATTAAAAAATTTATAAAAATTAATGATTTTTAAATTGTGTAACGTTCTGAGTAGTATGAGCAACTTTTTGGAGTAAGTCCCACCTGGGACATGAATCATTGCTTTGCCAGAGTATTCACACTATCTATGCTTTTGTCTATTAGTAACTTAGTAGCTGTCTCAGTTATCAGATGGAATGTCTTCCCAAGGTGTGCTTGTGTTCAAGCATTTAGGTCTACTTAATAATGGCCACAAATGCAAGAGTAGTGATGTAGGCATATTGTTATAATTATTATTTTTATATTATGACTATTGTTTATCTCTTGTGTAAGCAAAATTTATAATAAGTTAAACTTTATTGTAGGTTTGTATGTTTGGGAAAACATAGTTTATACAGGAATTTGTACTATCTGGGGTTTCAGGCATCTACTGGGGTCAATGTCTCCCACTAGGATAAGAGGAAACTACCGTATCCAGTTTTCATGATAATCAACTCTTTGCAATATTATATGAAAAATGCCATTATCTGGTTTCATAGTATTCATTCTTACAATACATAGAAAAATGCTCTTGTTTCATGCAATAACCCTCCAAAATATAACAGAATTATTGATTTTTATTCATTACTACTTAGGAGAATTGGATCCTGGTCAACATAATGTGTAATACTATACTCAGATGCACTTGAGCCACATAGGTGTGGATCTTCACAGAAATATAGTTGTAAGCATACACATTAGTATTAAAGCACCTGAGTTTGGAGTAATTTTATATTGCATTAAATGTAAGTGATATGATTGCATGTATATGAAAATAAATTTTGTTTTGTGTTATAATCTGGTATGCTGTTCTATTTTACAATTCATTAATGTTTTATCCATCCCAGCTATATTTATTTTTAACAAGATGAATCTAAAGATTAAATAATTTGTTTAAAAAATAAAATCAAATGAAGGAATAAGAACTACTACAGAGTGCCGGGCTCGGTGGCTCAACCTGTAATCCCGCACTTTTGGGAGGCTGAGGTGAGTGGATTGCCTGAGCCCGAGGGTTCGAGACCTGCCTGGGCAGCGAGACCTCATCTCTACAATAAATCAAAATATCAGCCGGGCGTGGTAGCGCATGCCTGTAATTCCGGGTACTCGGAAGGCTGAGGCGGAAGGATCGCCAGAGCCCAGCAGGCCGAGGCTGCGGTGACTGCATTCCAGTCTGGGTGACCGAGTGAGACTCCGACTCAAAAAAAAAAAGAACTACTACAGAGAAGTCAAGAATATAACTTTGTCTGTGATGGAGTGTGTGCCTGTACAGTAAGTTGGAATTGTAGTAATTTCTCACAATTATTAGTGACTAATATCAGTAAACACTTGTTGATAATGATGTCATAAGTTTTATAATTTATTCTATCATAATAAATACTTGATAATGAAATCATAAGTTTTATAATTTATTCTATCATAATAGAGTGACATAATAAGGATATGAAGGAAAGGCATACATAATGTTTAAAATTTAGCACTCTCATCTGATATTGGCTTTTAAACTGCTGAGACACTCTTAACAAGGCCTAAGTTGGCAATATTTTTGATTGAAATCGAAAAAAAAATTATACGTGTAGTAACTCTCTACACTTCCTGGCTTGTAGAATATAAAACCAGTTTATCAGAGGCACTTGAAAATGAACAAGTTAATGACACATGTTCAAAGTCTACTTTGTCCATTTAATAGGAGCTCAAATCTCCTGTAGTTTGGAGGTGTGTAATGAGAAAAACTTATTTCAAAATAGCCCATGCGTGAGAATTTCCTGTTCAAACCTTCAGTGACAGATTGATGAGAAATCAACTTTTACCACTCTTAGCTCACTCTGAGCCTTCACAGGGCAGTGTGTGAAGATCACAGACATTGGTTCTACTTGTTCTGGATATATGCCTTTAAATTTCACCTTTTATTCCAGTCTTTCCACTAAAGGATTTTTGACATTCTGGGACAGAAGGTACGTGTAGCAGCTTTCCATCTCTCTACTAGCCTACCTCATTTAGTCGCAGATTGCAAACATTAGATTGATGCAATGGAGGTGCGATTCACACACAATAAAATCAGAGTGTAAATTTGATATCTTTATTTGAATAAGTCAGGGTACAACCCTGGAATGTGAAATATGTTGCAGAATTTCTTAAAATGTTCAATTTATTGTCTGTGGAAAGTAGTTAATTGCATTCACACAAATTTGAGTTTGTTAGTCAATATTATTTACGTGAGCTGTAAATATCATAACTATCAATAATTTAGGATTGTTGTAATCAGAACATTGTGTATCTTTGAATATTGTAAAATTTTATATTTAGGTTAGTCATTGTTCAGAGATTGTTAAAGTAAATAAATTAGTTAATGAAAGTTTAATACGCTATTATCAGATCCGAAAGTCGATTTAATAAAATCAAGTTTTGTTTTCTTAAAAAAAGAGGATGAGGTAGATTACATAAGATACTAAATTTCATTAAAAATATTTTGAAAAATATTTTTTAAAAGTTGGTCAAAATATTGCAAAACGATTTATCACATTTCTATAAGGGACTTCTCTAATGATTTATCTTTCATGCTTTAACTGACATGAATTGGTAAAAATAACATAGCAATTGTGATGAAAATAATAATTAAAATTGCTGATATTTATTGAAAACATTATGCCTCAATTTGGAAAATTTTTTACATGCATTACATTTTATATGCTCTTATGCTCACTTTTCCTTGATAAGTTGGGTTATTAGATACTGAATAGCTTTTAAAGGGCACACATTATAAACTTCATAGTCAGAATTAATTCTAGACCTCTTTAACTCCAGATTCCATTGACTAAATTATTAGATTAAATTATCTGAATTATTGCAAATACACAACTAAAATGACCATGACTCATTTTGGCAGTCATAGAATCTTTTGGTAATGTTAAACCAAGAGAGTTTTTACATAAATAATGTATATTTTTATTTATTGTTTTATGGTTTTACATTTTAACCAGGAAATAATAGCCAATACGTCTGTGAAATAAGTATTTTTAAAAAATTTTAATCTCTCCAATACTGTTATGCAAGTTTATGTCATGTAATATTTTTCAAAATATAAAAATTGTTACATTCTTAATAATTTATCAGAATTCATCAGTCTTTCAATAAAACCATTTTGTAACCATTAATTCATTTCAATAAATGACTGTAAGCTATCGAATAAAAATTGATTAGCAAAATTATCATATATGTCAACATTCATGTTTTCTATGTACAGACAAGTCTTAACAAACTTTGGATTTCAAAATTACTATATACTATATTAAAAATTTTAATACAGGTATTGTCTTGTATTGACATTAAAATATATCTGTTAATCAGACAACTAATTTATATATTTTAATTCATGAAATTTTTTTAGTTTACTAATTTGTTGCTTTTCATTGCCCCAGCAATAATATTTTGTCAAAAGTATAAACCCTTAAAAAAATAGATCTTTCTCTAAGAAACTTGTTTAAGTCTAAGAAAATTAGAGTAAAAATTGTAGATGCCTCAATGAAATTAAATCTCGGTACTTTCTCTCCATTTTGCTTCTTTTGACTGTGCTAGGCATGTTGTCATTATATACCACTTATAAGCCTCTTAAGCACTATTATTGTACAGAACAGTTCCTGATAACACACAGCAAGAAAGATGGATAATTACAGAGTAATCTACTCAAAACTGAATTTGCCCCCAAACCCGAAGAACCAGGAGAGAAAGTCTAAGGGCAAAAAAAGTTCCATTTTAGTAACTGAGCAGGAAATAACCTATGCGGAATTAAGTCTTCAAACTGCTTCTCAGGATCTACAAGACAAGGACAAAACTTGCCACAGCAAAGGTAAGGCATTTCATACAACCTCAATATAATTGTCTGGAATAAGCAGCTTGGGTAACAGGATATGGGAAAAGAACAGGTAGTGCTCACATTTTTTTAAATATATGAATATCAGAGTTACAAGATGAGTTATGCTATTTTAAAATGAAATATAGATGCTATTTTTACCTGGACATTGTTGAAATCTGTAGTTTTTTTCCAGCAAATCACAGAGCATTATATTTACTCAAAATGCAATGGTACACTCTAAGAAAAACATTATTGTGGGTTATGCAGTTTGGGGTTTAAGTTTATCTATATGATTCTTATGCATGTGGGTTCTCTTGTCTGCAAATTCTCTAAATAACTATCTCCATCTCTCTTTTCTCTGTGTTTTTATTTCTCTCCCTATAGATTTATCATCGCCTCCAGAGAAGCTCATTGCTGGCATCCTGGGAATTATGTGTTTGGCATTAATAGTGACCATGGTAACAATAGTTATTATTCTTTGTAAGTATATTTTGTAAAAATAAAGGAGAGCTTTTCACGTAAATGAATAGAAATGCCTCTAAATATTTTCAATATTGAGGAATAGAATTCTCATTTTTACATTTTTTTGAACTAAATGTAGAATGATTGTTCTGAATTTGTAAAAAGTATAAATGAAAGAATAATTATAAAAAGCATTTGCTTTAATTAGATGTATATGCTCTGATTTCAAACTCCAAAAAGATGTTTTACAAATTGAGAAACCTTACTAAGAAATAGAAATTAATTTTTGAAAGTTGACTAAATCAAGTACTGTATGAGATATTGAATTTGGTTCTTTGCACTATAAAAATATTTATTCAAAATCTCAATTGCTTTATGTATTTTTTGTTGTACAGTTCTATATTTTTCTATATCTGAACAATATGCCAAATTTCAAAGAACTAACATTATTATGACTTATTCATATACAATTTTGTAAAAGATTATTTTAATTTTTCTAGCTACAGCAACACAGAAGCAAACCAATTCTTTCCAAAATGAAAGCAACCAGAAATGTATGTAATAATTTCCAAAATTCTGATAACAGAATTTTAATTTTGTATTTTTCCTCTTCAAATGAAAAAATAACCAGAGGTCTATTCAGGAGAAAAATTATATAATTTAGCAATAGATATCTGTAAATAAAGACATAAGGCTTATTTTATTTTCTTCAGCAATGAATATAAATACAAATCATAAACACTATACCCTTTTTTGTCATTTGTTGGAATTTCCTATTGCTATAAAATCTTGAGATAAATAATTTTACTGTTATAAAAAAGGTATGTCTGTTCAGTGATTTAAAGATATGTGTAATGTGACCGTTAGTCTGCTGACTTTTTTCATGTGTGAATAAGATTAGGGGATGAAAGCCAGCTGCTTTACAGTGTCTACATATTTGAGTCAGTGGGTTTTTAATTGTATGTGCCATCCTGTGAGAATACCTAGATATATTTTGTACATACATGACATACTTTTGTAAATTTACAGTGTACCATTTTAAATTATTCATATTGTTTCTTGGTAATTTATAATGTTTCCTCAGCATATAATTGTAGTTGTCCAGAGGAGTGGTTTACATATTCCAACAACTGTTATTACATTGGAAAGGAAACAAAAACTTGGAAAGAGAGTATGATGGCCTGTGCTTCTATGAACTCCAGTCTGCTTTATATAGATGATGAAAAAGAAATGGTACGACTTTAAATGTTTCGAATACCTTTTTAAAAGCTTATTTCAGCCAGTAAAACATTTGAGGAAATAATCTATTTTCTTGTACGTATTTTGTCAAATTATTTTCAATAAAACAGATTATATTGCTTGACCTTAAAATAGTTATTTGTATTCACCATCTGCTAATGCATATTTCATTACCTTTTCATAGAAACCATGTTTCCCTACATACTTTAATTCTAAAAGATATCTTGCTATTTAATTTTACTATATATGAATAAAACTAAGTATATCTTAATTGTGCAGGTTGATCACAAAATGAATAGAATCCTGAAATACAAATATCATAAAAACAGAAGTTTTCAGCACCAGTCCTGCTCTTGTATATGTGTTCATCACTGCTACCTCTTCCCAAAAACCATTCGCCTGTGTTTTAATATTACAAATATTGCTAAGTCAGGTGCTAGGGAATGGCAGAACATACTTCATTTTCTCTGTTGGTGGAGAATTGAAAGATATCCAGCCACTCTGTTGAGCCCTGGGGCTCAGGTTTCAAAGCATTTCAGCATTCCATTTCAAACATTATTCAAAAACAAATGTAAAAATGGCCAACAAGCATATAAAATATGCAAAATCACTAATTATCGAATAAATATAAATGAAAACTACAATGAGATGCCAACTTCCACCTGTCAAAATGACTACCAAAAAGGGAAAAAAATACCAAATGATCACAAGCAAGTGGAGAAAACAGAACACTATACACTGTTGGTGGAAATGTAAATTAGTACGACATCTATGGGAAACAGTTTGGAGATTTTTCAAAAATAAAAGCAGTACCATCATTTAATCCAGCAGTCACACTACTCGGTGTCTACACAAATGAAAACAAATCATATCAAAAAAGAAACACTCACTTATACATTTTCTGTTGCATTATTCACAGCATCAGAGATATGGATGCAATCTAAGTGTCCATTAACAAATGCTTGAATAAAAATGTTTGAATAAAAATGTATTATGCATATATATATTTGCACATATTCCATATTGTATGTGTGTTTATATATATATATACACACACACGTAAACAATAACACATACAAAGAGACACATAGCTTAGGAAATGCTCCACAACCCAAAAAAGCAAATCATGACTCTTGCAGCAGCAGGAATAGAACTGGAGGCTATTGTCATAAGTGAAATAAGTAAAAAATAGAAAATCATATACCACATGTTCTCATATGTAAGTGGAAGATAAATAGCGGGTACAAATGGACATAAAGAGTGAAATACAGACCTTGAAAGCACTGAAGGGACAGAGAGAGGGAGGGGATGATGGATGAGAAATTATGTAATAGGTATAATGTGCATTTTTCAGATGATGATTTTACTTCAACTCTGAATTTCACTACAAGGCAGTACATACATGCAACAATACATGCTTGAATACCTTGAATTTACACAAAAAATGTAGACACTACAGAAATTTTTTAAGTTTAGTATATTGTTTAAAAAATTAAGGACCTTATGAAAAATACACTATTTGTATTTTTCAGGCTAATACAATCTATCATAATGGTTACTTATATGAAAATTTTTATTTTCTGTTAGAAACTTCTGGCCTCTTTCGTGAGTGAAGCATGGATTGGAGTCTCCCGTAACAGCAATGATCATTCATGGGTGTCAATAAAGGGCACAGTGTTCAAACATAAGTAAGTTTTTTGGAACAATGCTATAAAGATGAAAAATATATAAAAGGGAGAAATTCAAAGAATAATATGAATAAGCTTATGCTGATTTTTAGATATGAGGAAAGATTTTGAAAGCTAGTACAGTGTTGCAATAAATATTACATGATGTGCTACAGTACACCCCCTAAACCACAGTTTCACTCTCTGTGGTCTCATTGCCCAGGACCAATCTCAGCCAAAAGTATTATTAGAAAATTTCAGGAAAAAACAATTCATGAGTTTTAAATGTGAACTGCTCTGAGTAGCATGATCAAATCTTTGGTAGTATTGATCTCTCCCACCTGAAAACACAAAGTCATTGTTTTTTTCTGGAGTATCCAAAACTGTGTATGCTATTTGGTGTCGGTCACTTATAGTCATCTAGTTATCAGATCTACTGTCTTCATAGTGCTGTGCTACTTAATAAGTGCTTAGTTTACTTAATAAGGGCCTCAAATGCAAGAGTAGTGATGTAAGTGTCTTGCTATAATTATTATGTTAAATTATTGAGTATTCATAATCTCTTGTGCCTAATTTATAGGTATGCATGTAGAGAAAAAACATAGTATTTACTCGCATGAAAATTGACACTATTCATGGTTTCAGGAATTCACTGGAGTTAATGTCTCCCTCAAGATAAGAGGGGGACTTAGTTTTGTTTAATAACTGACTATTATAATATAATAAGTGTTCTAACCTCTTTTCATGGTATTATTTTCTTAAAATACATGGATAATTCTCTTATTTCACAGAATGTTGCCCAAAATAAAATGAATTGGGACTTTTTCTTCGCTACAGGATAAAAGAATATTTTGTTCAAAGCAACTGTGCAAAGATAAGCTTCCAAGTACTTGAGGCAGACAAATGTGGAGTTTCACAACAGTATAGTTGTAAGCATACATTTCAGAATTGAAACCCCTGAGTTTGGAGTCTATCAGGTAATTTTATATTTTATTAAATGAAAATAATATTTTGATCACATAAGTCTGAAAATGAATTATGTTGTTTGTTTCAGCAATAAAAATAAATTTTAAAATGAGTTACTAAAGAATAATATACACACCATCAAGTGCAGATATCGCTGCTGTTGTGCCTGACTCCTTTTCCTGGACATTAGATTTGTGTCATTAAACCTTTCTAAAAGTTACATGTAATGTGAGTCTGTTTGTGTGAAATATCAAGAATAGGCAAAGCCATAGAGACAGAAAATAGAATAGCAGTGGCCAAAGGCTTAAGGTGAATTAGAAAGTGACTGCCAATAGCTACAGTGTTCTTTTTGATAGTGGTCTTTGTTGTAACTCAATGAATATATTACAATTTTTAAGTGGATGAAATTTATATGTACATGACGTCTCAAATGAAAAATAAGCGCTCACTTTTTGTAGCTTATAAATGGGATAATTGGGTTTCACATGAATATGTGAGATGTGCCTCCCTAATCTTAATATGAAATTGGCATATTACTCATCTGGCATGAAATAAGTAAATGATGACATCAAAAAACTCTCATGGGATTTACATTTGGGACTCCACTTAATCTGTCACATAATTTTTAAAGATTATGGATCTTTGTGGTGTTGATTTCTCCAACAACATTTAGGCCGTGATCTCTATGTTAAATTTTCTTTAATTTGTCTGTATTACACCTTTTGTATTTTTTAGTTTTGAAGTCACATAGTAATAATATAGGTATTTTACTTTCTTGTTTTTGTAAATAGCATCTTTATTTTAAAATTTATTTTAGAAATATATGTTGCTACAAGTGTAAATACCATTGAAGTCTGCACATTGATCGTATATTCAGTTGCTTCATTGATTTTATGTATTAACACTATAATTTCAAGTATAGATTGTTCTGTATTTTATAAATAATCAACTATTTTATCTGTAAATCATTGCACTTTTATTTTTTCTCTCTAGGTGTAATGATTTTCTTTCTTTAAATATTTTCACTGTTGAGAGGTTTATTTCCAATAAAGTTTGTTTCTTTCGTTTCTTCTATTCTCTTATTTTTGTGTAAGGAGTCCTGCTTTACCTCCAAGACTGGAGTGTAGTGGCACAATGATGGCTTAT